AAAGCAATTCCACTAAAATCATGGATAAGACAAGGCTTGTCAACTCTCTCCCTATCTCTTCAAAACAGTTCTTGAAATTCTAGCTAAAGCAGTAAGACAACTAAAGGAGATTAAGGGAATGCAAATGGAAATAAATATACAAATAAATAAAGTATTACTATTTGCACATGATATGACAGTGTACATATGTGACCTCAAAAATTCTAAGAGAGAACTCCAACAGCTGATAAACACTTTCAGCAAAGTGGCTAGATACAAAATTAACTAAAAAAAAAAAGTACCCGTTCTTTATACAAATGATAATCGGGGTGAGAAAGAAATTAGGGAAACAACACCCTTTATAATAACCACAAATAATATATCTTGGTGTTTAACTCTAACCAAGCAAGTAAGAAACCTGTATGATAAGAATTTCAAGTCCCTAAAAAGAGAAATTAGATCTCAGAAGATGGAAAGAGCTCCCATGCTCATGGATCAGTAGAATTAATACAGTAAAAATAGCCATCTTATCAAAAGCAATCTACAGATTCAATACAATTCTCATCAAAATTCCAATACAATTCTTTTCAGACCTTGAAAGAACAATTCTCAGATTCATATAGAAAAACAAAAAACCTAGGATAGCTAAAACATGTGGATAAAAGAACCCATCTGGATTTCAAGCTGTACTACAAAGCAATAGTGATTAAAACCATATGGTACTGGTCCACAGACAAACAGGTTAATTGATGGACTAGAATCAAAGACCCAGACATAAACCCAGACACTTATGGACACTTGATTTTTGACAAAGAAGCCAAAAACCATACAATGGAAAAAAGAAAGCATCTTCAACAAATGGTGCTGGTCTAACTGGATGTCTGCATGTAGAAAAATGCAAATAGATCCATATATATCACCCTGTACAAAACTCAAGTCCATGTGGATCAAAGACTTTAACATAAAACCAGATACTGAACCTATTAGAAAAGAAAGTGGGAAATAACCTCGAACTCACTGGCACAGAAGAAAACTTTCTGAACAGAAAACTTTCTGAATAGATAGTGTAGGCATTAAGATCAACAATTAATAAATAGGACATCTTAAAACTGAAAAGCTTCTGTAAGGCAAAGGATACCATCAATAAGACAAACTGGCAGCCAACAGAATGGGAAAAGATCTTCACCAACCCTCCATCCAACAGAGGGCTAATATCCAAAATATATAGAGGACTCTAGAAATTAGACATCAACAAGCCAAATAACCCAATTAAAAATGGGGTACAGATCTAAACAAAGATTTCTCAACAGAGAAATTTCTAATGACTGAGAACCACTTAAAGAAATGTTCACTGTCCTTAGTCATTAGGGAAATGCAAATGAAAATGACTCTGAGATTTCATCTTATGCCTGTCATGGCTAAGATCCCATATTCAAGTGACAGGACATGCTGGTGAGGATGTGAAGCAAGGGGAACATTCCTCCATTGCTAGTGGAAGTGCAAACTTATACAACCACTTTGAAAATCAATTTGGTGGTTTCTCAGAAAACTAGAAATAGTTCTACCTCAATACCACTCCTGGACATAAACCGAAAAGATGCTACACCATACCACTAGGACATTTGCTCAACTATGTTCATAGCAGCTTTATTTATAATAGCCAGAAACTGGAAACAACCTAGATGTCCCTCACCTGTACAATGGATTAAAAAAAAAGTGGTCCATTTGCACAATGGAATAGTACTCAGCTATTAAAAACAAGGCTATCACAAAATTTGCAAGCAAATGAGTAGAACTAGAAAATATCAGCCTAAGTGAAGTAACCCAGACCCAGAAAGATACACATGATATGTATTCACTTATAAGTGGATTTTAGCCATAAAGTACTGGATAACCATGCTACAATTCACAGACCCAAAGAAACTAAGTAACAAGGAAGGCTAGGGGAGGGTGCTTGAATCTTACTCAGAAGGGGAAATAAAACATAGACATTGAAGGCTGATGGAGGGAGGAAACTGGGTGGGAAAAGGAGTTGGAGGGGAGAGGTGGGGATCAGATGTAGAAAGGGCTGGTGGGAGAGGAGAGAGATACAGAGAGAGACAGAGATAGAGAGAGAAAGAGATAGAGACAGGGAGAGACAGAGACAGAGAGACAGAGGAAATTAGTGGGAGAGCATCTCTGGAACTAGATGGAAACCTGGGATGTGGGAGGCTTCTGGGAATCTATAGGGGTGACCATAGCTGAGACTCCTAGCAGTGAGGGATCTAGAGACCAAATTGGCCACCTTTTATAAGCAGGTGAGGCTTCCAATGGATGGAGGGGGACACCAACCCACTCACAAAACCTTTGACCCCAAAATTTTCCTGCCTATAAGATATGCAGGGATGGGCTGGAGAGATGAGCTCAGCAGTTAAGAGCACTGACTGCTCTTCCAGAGGCCATGAGTTCAATTCCCAGCAACCACATGGTGGCTCACAGCCATCTGTAATGAGATATGACCCCTCTTCTGGTGTGTCTGAGGACAGTGACAGTGTACTGAGTACTCATATTCATACAATAAATACATAAATCTTTAAAAAAAAAAGATGTGCAGGGATAAAAATGGAGCAGAGATTGAGGGAATGGCCAACCAACGACTGACCCAACTTGAGACTCATCCCATGGGAGAGCCAACTCCTTATGCTATTAATGATACTCTGCTATGCTTGCAGGCAGGAGCCTAGCATAATGGTCTTCTGGAAGGCTTTATCCCAGCAGGAGATGAAAGCAGATGAATAGACCCACAGTCAGACATCAGATGGAGGTGCTGTGCAGTTGAGCATGAGAGCAGACAAGTGAGGACCAAACATATATCTGGTAGACTCAGTAAGGCAGTATCTGAGAGAGGGCCCTGCCCAATTAGAAGTCACTTGTATTAAAGGGCATCACTGCAGAAGGTCAGGGCATATAGCTAAGGAGGAGGGCAGAGAATGGGGTCAGAAAGAAAGATAGTCACTGGAAGATGGTAGGTGGCAAGACTCTGAGCTGATCCTTCTAATCTAGACTTGGCTCCTGATCACATCCTCACTTCCAGCCAGAACCCCTCTTATTGTACTTAGTAAGGATTCTGTGTGTCCTAGTCACTGCTTTATTGTTGTGAAAAGATACCATGACCACAGCAACCCTTATTTAAAAAAAAAAAAGCATTTAATTGGTGGCTTGCTTATAGTTTCAGAGGTTTAGTCCATTGTCATCACAGCAGGGAGCATGGCCACAGGCATGACAGGCATAGTACTGGAAAAGTAGTTGAGAGCTACATCCTGATTCGCAGACAGAAAGAGAGAGATTAGGACTAGCAAGGGCTTTTGAAACCTCAAAGTCTACTCCCAGTGACACCCTTACTCCAACAAGGCCACACCTCCAATTTCTTCTAAGTGACTAAACATTCAAATATATGAAGCTATGAGGCTCATTCTTACTCAAATCACCATACTGTTCATTCTTTGTACATTCTCTTTGCCTATTTTCCTCCGGCCCCTATAAAACACAATTACCATGGTGACTCACTCTTAAGACCAGCTTAGCAAACTGTAGTACTATATTCTCACCCCTAACTCTAGCTCTTTTACATAGAATATTTCCTGACCTTTATTACTCAAATAAGAGCCCATGGTGCTGGTGTTCTGGTGAATGCAAAGGGAAGCCTAGACTCTGCACTCTCCACTTATTCAGCAGATGCTTTGCAAGCTCCAGAGCTTAGTGGGGTGCAGCAGGGAACAGAGCTGGTGCTGCTGTACATATGTGCACTAGACAAGGAGCAACGAAACTAAGAAAAGTCAAGTTGGCATGTCAAAAGGGCTCCTGAAGTCATGAGTGCAGGGCTCGCTTGGATGAAGTTGGGGAATGGCCTTCCTGAGTACAAAGTAATGAGAGGCTTGAGTAAAGAGGACACCATTGTGCTGGGGACTAGCCAGAGAATAGCAGTAAGTGGGCCAGAGCAGCTGATGCCTAATCTGGAAGTATGCAGTCCTGTCCCCATGATGGTCACATGTTCCAGGGAAGACTAACAGCAACAGAAATAAGTACTTGAGAGCCCAGGGAAGGATCATGTTTGGGGGTCAGAATCGCCCTTTCTGGAAGGCTCCCAACACTAGCAGTGTTCAGGAGGTGAGATGAAAGTGAGAAAAAAGGAGGAAGTCACAGGGACAGTCTGACAGAAGAGACTCAAGGTGAGAGGAAGGCAGCACCTGTGGTTGAAGGGGCAATGACAGCTGAGGCAGGAACCTTCCAACAGCAGCAACCTGCTCCTTCTCTTCCTTATAGCAGACTCTGTGGTAGCAGTAGCACATTTGTTAAGTGAGCAACCTCATGATCCAAGCCAGTTACAGTCTCTAGTTTTTTCGAACCAGACCAGAGCCTCCCTTTAACTGGAAAGTGAGGTATAGCAGATGACAGCAGTGGGTTCCATGGAGCACCCTGTTATTCCAGGTCAGGGAATGTGAGATTAGAATCCTGCACCTGCTCTTTTCACCTGCCAGCAGGCACTGAGAGGAAGAAAAGTTAGTGCCCAAGAATGGTGAATCAGAAAAGAAGGTAGACTCCGACGGTAGAGAGGCACACCTCAGCAAAACCAGAAGTCACTGGCTGCTGGAATTCCCATAATGAACCACAGAGTTAGGGGCTGACACCTGAGGTCCACATATTCCTGCCCTCTGAATGGCAGGGCTTGGGTAAGCACAGAAAGGACAATGGCCTTCTAATAGGAGGCCCACAGATCACACTGCAGCACTGGAGGTCATTCTTCTCCTGTGACTTCCTACTTCTCATTCCTCTTACCCTTGTTTATAGTGGGACAAGTCCTCTGTTCATTCATAATTAGGAAGTTTTTGGCATCCCAGTCATTTACTCTTGTTTTAAAAATGATTAACAATTACATAAAAAATTAACTTTTTTTCTTATGAAAGTAGCTTTAGAAAAATTTTTAAAATCATGTTAGCATTCCTGCAAATCTGATACTATTGTGCCTTGTTTTGTTATCTTACCACTGTGAAGTCAGGGTAGAAAATACATCATTTCTTTCAGATTCCTGGAATAACTTCAAAAGCTCTGGATCCCCAGATAAATGTGCAAGAATGCGCAATTCAATCTGTGAAAAGTCTGTGAGACAGAGTTCTGGGTCAGCTTATGGTACCCCCATCATTGACTCACCCCAAGCCACGCTCAGTCTGCCTCTCTGTGGGGCTCAAGGTCATCATACCTCTTCCCCATCTGCTAGACTCCCTTAGCCTTAGGAATATAGGCTCTTTTCTATGCCAGCAATTCCAAAGACCTGTCTGTGCTTCCTCTTGCAAGGTCAACAAAGCCTCCAGAACGGGCAGTGTTCATTCTCTACATTTATCACAACTTTATGAAGGGCCTCCTGTGTGCCAGGATCCCTTTGGGATATGTTAATAACCAATATGGACACAGAACCTTTCCTCCATGGAATTTACATTGTAGCAGACATTATGAGTAAATCACTTGCTATGTCAGAAAGAGAGGAATGGGAAAAATGGATCAAGGTATAGTTTGGAAGAGAGTAGTGTGTATGTGAAAAGCTGGTGTCATGCTGGAGTAACAGCTCCCTTGCTTCTTTCTAGACCTTAAGAAATTTACAATGAACAAAGACAGAAGAGAAAAAATGGAAGGGCTGTAGGGGCTTGAAGTTTAGGAGCACAGCGGCTAGCAGGACTGCTTAAGTAGGCAAGGGGAGGGAGTGGGGGAGGACAAAGAAGGAGGAAGCAGATTGAATGAGTTATGCAGAAATTATCTGGGATCGAAATACAGCAGAATGAGGTGACCCTGAAAGCCAAAGACGAGTTATTACTTAAAGTGAGTAAGAAATCTTTGTTTTATGTAAGTGCTTGCGTCAGGATTTATTTGCATGAATGAGTTCTATATGTATCTTTGCATTACTTAGTTGGTAAATATTTGAACTGCATGAAAATGCACAAAGCGAGCTACAAGGACAGTGGCATCCCTCTACCATCCTATGCATGTACCTGCTGCCAGGAAGGTGTGGCCTTCAGAGGACACAAACATGGTTCTTGGAGAGATGGTGACAATCTCCTCTTCTTTACCTTGAATTGTCATTTCAAAAGCATGTGGTGAGTTTCACTATCAGCTGACTTGCAGTAATTCTTCATACAGAGATATTTCAATATCATCCATAAATAAAAGTCTAAATTTGTTATTTTCTTACTTTCTAGTAATCCGATTAAAAAATAAATACCATTGAAAGATAATAAAATTTTCTATTATCAAAATTCTCTGCTCTGTCTACAATTATGATAAAGAAAGTAAAAAGTCAGACACTGACACCCAAAATCACTCTAGCAAAGCACCGGAGACTACGCCCCACTGACTGGAAGATCTACACAGGCTATGCTGCTATGTGGTTCCCACTGGAGACACCACAAAAGGGCAGCTGCTCACTGTGATGGTGCATATTTAGAAAGGGGAGTTTTTAGCTTTGGTGGTATTACTGTGACTCCTGGGTCAATGCATACAGCAAAGCAGCAGCACTGACCTGGCCACAGCTTACTGGGAGTGGACATCCTAGCACTCTTTACCAGATGGGAATTTTCTTTTTAAGGAATGTGACCACCAGTATTACAAGTGGGATAGCTCAAAAGAAAGAATAATTTTCATATGTTGTTATAAACATCTCCAGAAAACTTTAGGTTTTATTAAAAGCCAGTGCCATTGTGTATGCATTTGTTTGTTCTTTATTGGGAAGTTGGTGGGGGAGGGACAGTGGGACGGCAGATATTTCCCTGGTATAATTACCATCTATTTTAATGCATAAACTGCTAAGAGGGAGGTACTATATCACTTCAGCTGCTTTTTATTTTTTCAATGTAGGTTTAAATACTGGTCATGCAAACATAGAGGAGAACTTCAGAAAAGAATAACAGTTATATTGCAAGAAAGTAATTGTAAACACTTCTGGGTTTTAAGAAATGCTCTGGAGATTTTAACAAGATAGGAAGTAATGCATTACCTTTAAAATTCTGAGGCTTAGAAATCTGAATTGGGTGCTTGGAGATACCCTGGATATTCTATAAAAATAATAAAAATAATAGTTTTAGTTGAAATATGTAGTCTTAATCTGCATCATTCAAGGTATTTAAAATATATAGTATTTATTAAATATTTTATTAAATGTATAAGGCCAATACACCATGCAAAAGTATATTATCATATAATATAACTGCCTAATATGAAAGTTTCAATGGAGACATCACAAATGGCAATCAGCAAGTATGAGAAACTGCCTTGACCCTGGCCTGTATGGGCCTGTGATACATTCAGGGACCTGCCAGCAACCCAAATTATTAAGTTTCTTAATTGTAAAAAATTACAACATGCTGAAGGTAGATTTCTAGGAAATCTGTCCATTATTCTTTTAAAAGTACTCCTTTTTTCATTAATTTTTTTATTCACTTTACGTTCTGATCACAGCCCCCCTCTTCTCCCAGTTCCACCCTCCCACGCCACTTGCCCCATCCTCTCCCTTCCCTACCAGGGTACCAACCCATCCTGGCACATCAAGTTGTCTCAGGACTAAGTGCATCCTCTCCCACTGAGGCAGACAAGGCAGCTCAGCTAGGGGAAAGGGATCAAAAGGCAGGCAACGGAGTCCAAGTCAGAAACAGCCCCCACTGCAATTATTAGGGGGTCTTACATGAAGACCAAGCTGCCTATCTGCTACAAACTAACCCAATAACACAGGAAAAGGGTCATATATCATGACCAAGAAAGAATTGTCTTAGAAATTCAAGATCGGTTTAAAAATCCAAAACAATACATAATATTCATCGAATAAAGGGCTTTAAAACACAGTTCCATTGTACAGAGCAGAAAAAGACAGTAACAAAATCCAACTTTCTTTCAGACTATGTACCAGAATATACACTGAAATATCTAACTAGGAAAGGGGAATTTTTTTCCAACATAGTAACCAGCATGTAGAAAGTTTACTGATTCTCAGTAATTTCACTGTTTAAAGCTGTCTAAAATAGACCGGTAGTCCTCAGTGATCATCGAGCCAAACTGTAGTTAACATACACATTTGGAAGCTCTTGGAAAGCACCGCATGGCCAGGAGCAACCAGCAAATAGGGGCTCAGGTTCTAACACAGAACACAGCATCATGTTTTACCAAAATAAAGGAAATGTATGAGTTTTCTATAAGTCCTGAGAAAATAGTAAGTTTAAGCTTACTGTGCTTAGATTAATTTGCAAAGGAATATTTTTGATAATCAAGTTTTTTTGTTTTTTTGCAATATAACAAGTAACAGGATGGAAGAAAACTCACCAGATATTTAATTTACACAGCACATTTTAACCATTTCAAGAAAAATAACCTCTTTGTTTTAGAGCAAAGTTGTAAAGATAGAAGAACTATCACATGATCCCATCCAGTTTCACCCTGTGAGCATCCTGGAGTTGGCTGCAGCTAAACTGACAGGTTGTATTACCATCCTCTGAGCTCCATGCTTTGTACTCATTGATTTTTTTTTAAACCTAATTTCTTTTTTATGACACTTAGTCATCATGTCTCTTTACTGTCCTCTTGGCTGTCAGTTTCTCATCATGCTTCACAATTGAGGAATGCTAGTTAGACAGGAAACTCTACCCCAACAAGTTGGGATTTGTCTTGGTAGCAGGGTTGGGGGTAGAGGGCGTAGAATTGTGTTCTTGGGAAGATCACTGAAGTGAGGTGTCATCCTCATGTTGTTCTGTCAAAACACAGGCTGTCTACAGGACCTTCTTGCTGTTGGCACCCATCTCCACACAGTATTCTAGGCCTCTTTTTAGAAAGTTACATTTTTTTTAGAATAAAATTTTTATTAATCATTTCATATGTTTACATTTTCAAATGATATCCCCCTTCCTGGTTACTCTTTCACAACCCCCACCCCAAAGTAAAGGCAATCATATTGTGTTACTTACTTCTGTGACCCTGACCAAAAGACCTGATTTTCTTTTTAATTTTTTTCTAAATTAATTTATATTTTTATTTATATGAGTATACTACAGCTGTCTCAGACACACACTGGAGGAATGCATCAGATCCTACTACAGATGGTTGTAAACCACAATATGATTGCTGGGAATTGAACTCAGGACCTCTGGCAGAGCCCTCAGTGCTCTTAACTGCTGAGCCAACTCTCCAGCCTAAGACCTGATTTTTTAAAAACTTATTTTGGAAAAGATTTATCTTGGCTTCCAATTTCAAAGAGGTCATTGCATCATGGCATCTTGGAAAGAGCACAGTAGAAGTGAAAAGTTTACAGCATGGTCAGGCAGGAAGCTGACAAAGGGGATGTCAATGCTTGATTAGTTTGTAGTCATTTCCCCTCTTTTGTTTGACCTAGGCCTCTAGACTATGACATGGTGTTATCCACACCCAGGGTGTGTCCCCACAGTTAATCTCATGATTCTTCTGGGAATAGGGCTTGTGAAGAAAGACCATGTTCTCACCACATTGCATCATCTCTCTACCAACATGAGCCATCACTGCCGGAAGCTTAGGTATATTCTACTCAGGCAGTGACTCACTATACAGCCAAGGCTGGAGTCAATTCTCCATTTCTCAGGCACCTGTATTCTGATTCATTCACTTTTTCTTTTAATTTGTAAGAGCTCTTATTTTATTCTTTGTGCATGAGTACTTTGCCTGCATGTATAGACCAGGGGAGGTCAGAAGAGATTTTCATATTCCTATTCACACATAGTTATGTACAGCTGTGAGTCACCTTGTGGGTACTGGGAACTGAATCTGGGTCCTCTGCAAGAACAGTAAGTTCTCTTAACTACTGAGGAGATCCAGTCCCTCATTCATGTCTTTTTATGGTTTCATGGCCATATGAAACTTTTATCATTGAAAAATATTTCTCTGTATGGATGTAACATAATCCACTAATCCACTGAAGAAAATTTTGTTTGCTTTCATGTTTTAGCAATAATTAATAAAATTGCCATCATATGTATTTATGTGTAAGATTTTATATAAATTTTCAGATAACTTTGATCATCTTTGGAGTTTGATGATTGGATGAAATAGCAGTCTGAATCAAACTGTTAATTTGGGTTTATACATTGGCTCAGGAAGTAAAGGTGTTTGTTACCAGGCCTGTCTGATAACCAGAGTTCCATCCCCTAGAACTTCTTGATAAAATGAGAGGACCAACTCCTATGTTGTCCTCTGATCTACAGAAGTATGCTGTGGCACATGCACACATACACCTATAAATAAATGTAATAAAAACTACATCTTTCCTCCTTTAAATTGACTATCTCAGGTATTTTGACACAGTGATGGAGAACTGACGGAGGTGAAGTGAATGTTGTTTCAATTTATGAACCAATGCTGACACATAATTATTAAAGTCTATACTTTACTGCCAAACTTCAGAAATGACTGCATTTTTCATTCTCACCAGAAATAAATGAGAATATATATTATTCCACACCCTTACCAATAAAATTTTTTAAGCAATTAAAAATTATTTCAGCTACTAAGTGGGTTGGCCAGATGGCTCAGTGACCAAAGCACTTGCCATATAAAGCTAATGACCTGAATTTGACTCCTGGAACCCATATAAAGGTTGAAAGACAACAAAGTTGTCTTCTGACCTCCACACATGTGCTGTAACATGTACATATGCACATATACACATACAACACACACAAATAGTAAATTTTAAAAAATTAAATTCAGCTACAAGTGCTGGGGAGATGGTTCAGTGGCCAGAAGGGCTTGTCATGCAACCATGACAACTGGAATTTGAATTCCTAGAATTCCTATGATTAGACCCACATAAATGCTAGGTGGGCATGGTGGCTCATCTGCAATTTCAGGCTCAGAAAGCTGAGGTAGGAGATCCCCACAGCAAACTATATAGGGAGACTAACTAGCTTTATTGGTGATCTCTCAGTTGGAGTGAAAGATCTTGCCCCAAAGAATAAGGTAGAAGAATGAAGAAAATTTTCTGGTATCAACCTTGGGCTTCCACATGCAAATATACATGAGCACATGCATATGGTTACACATGCACGCACATGCGCGCGCGCGCACACACACACACACACACACACACACACCACATACAATAAAAGAAGTCTCTATCAATAAGGTCCAAAGTTGTTTGTTGAGGATGGTTGCAAAAGACTCCTCCTCAGACTTTAGCAGAAGCTGCACAGAGACATTTTCCCTTTATACTTGAGAGAAACTGAGCAATTGTTTCCAAGATTTTCTAGGACCATGTAGGCAGTGGCAATGAGAAATGGGTAAAGAATCCGCTGGGCTCATTCCTATAGATTTTGCCTGAAGATGTTCTGTCCTAAGTCATCTGACACAGGAAGGCTGAGCAATATCCTTAACTGTCTAGAGCAGCTTGAGTTTAGTTTTGTGTTGATTCAGCTGAATGAATACATACATAGATCAGCAGCACTTTAAACTCAAGTCAGGGCTTCAGGGAACAGCATACACTCAGTGTAGTTCAACCCACCTCATTATTCTCTCTCTACTTGTGCTCCTCCTTCCCAAAGTGGTATCAGCAGTAAGGTGGTAGAAGAATCCATGGCTTTATGAGACTAGTAGGAAGGTCGCATGCCACCAGCTTGGGACTACCCTCATCTTGCTGGCTGTAATGATATCTGCCTGGGCTCCATGACCTGTCTGCTTCTATAAGTAAAGAATGTCCACAACAGGACTGCAGTCTGTGAGCTCACTGCAAAAAGTACCTGATGTCCCTGTCTGCCATTGTGGGCCTGTACTTAACCCTGGTGACACCACTGTGTTCTGAAACTCAGCTGTGCTTTCTTTTTGGAGCCAGCCTTGGACTGTACCAGCCACAGCTCCTTTCCAGGGTGCAGACAGAAGTGGGAAGATGTAGGAGCCTTCATTTTCTTCACTAGAGGCATACATGACCCAGGAGCTTATTGCTCTGGTGGGTACGGTGCAGAAGAACAACTGTAGATCTTTTTTGTTTGTTTGTTTGTTTTTGTTTTTGTTTTTCGAGACAGGGTTTCTCTGTGTAGCCCTGGCTGTC